CTTTGTTAACAAAAAACCCGAACCCCGAAAAACTATTTTTTTACACAAATCCACGTTTATTTTGAAATGAGCCGTTGCGACTTCCGACTGATTTCGATAGAGCGGGTCACATATGAGCTGAAGTCAAGAGTAAATTCTGTGTGTTTTTTCTGTGCTTTTCTCTTAGGGTTAGGGTTAGGGTTGCGCTCTTGTTACATTAAATGATATCTGCATTTTTCAGATGAAAGAGATGTAGAAGAAAGAGAAGACGAGATGAGAAGAAGGTCAGGTAAGTCTGACCTTAAAGCTAGGGTATGCAGTTTATTGAAGAAGCAGTTTTGGTAATATGTATATTTTTCTATTCACTTTACAGCTTGACAGGAGTGAATAAATCAAACGACAAAAAAGCAATAATTTGTTGAGTTTTTCAAATATTAAGATGTCATACTTTGTTCTGTTTTATATCGTATTTGATTGATTAAGACAAAACATTATTGCCTATTTGAAACACATGGACCCTTCTGCATATGAATACTGTTTTTTCCTAAGTAAACGTTTGAATGCCGGACTTTGACTTGGGCTCAGTATTTGTACACTGTAGTATACATCATTCTACATTGAAATGATCAAGCAGAGAGTGTTTGCAAACGTTCATCATATTTGTTTTCTATTTTGTTGGGAATGGAGATATATGAGGGACTTTGTTTCTGTATTGCTCACATGATTTCCTGAGTAAATATGACCCAAACAGTACCAAACAGTACCAAACAGTACCAATGGGTCCAAAATGTGAACATAATACAAAGGTTAAGTTAAATATCAGCTGGAAATATGCATTTGTATCTCGTTCGGAAAAAAGGCCGCTAATCTTGTTTGAGTGTATTGTTGGTTTAAGCCAGTCAGACGGAGGGCTTCATCAGTACCTGCGAGGAGGTATTTTCTGGTTCTAATGCAGTACTTAAGGTCAGATCGCTCCTCCATAAGCCTGCTAACAAGCTTAAAGCCCCTGATTACTGGAAGACGGGGCACGATAACCCTCATGTTGATCATTCCTGCGCAGAACGGGCCGCTGATAAAGCATGACCATTGTTTTCTTGTTGGTAGTCTGGTGACCATCCATCAGGCGACTATAAAAAGGGAATTTTGCGACTTGTTTATGTCCTTCAAATCTAATTGGACCTTGCTGCAGCTCCCGTGGCACGCCATTGCTGGGCAATAAACAACAGAGGCAATGGGCAATTACTTCATATCGCTGGCGGACATGGTAACAGTTATTGGCGCGCCGAGTCCTCCTCTCACCGTAGTTATTCCCAATGGCCGCTGAGTACAATCTGTGGTCTGTGCACCATTTAGAAAAAAGGGGCAGTGACCTGGGATATGAGGATATGATTAAGTACGCCATTAAAGACCTCGAGACAAATCACGGAGGAATGGTGACAGCCAGCGAGCGTTCGCAGCCTGGGTGCACATTGCCGCTGTCAAAGAAAAATGTACGTAACTGCGAGTAACTCCTTTTTATGTCCCAGACTCGGGTTGTGTGCAAAGAGAGACGTGTCTGCACAGCTTGTTTGCATCTTGTGCATTTTAATTTGCCAGGATCACACTGAACAAACTAATGATTTTTGTTGGTTCACCATGACGTGGAATAGAATCATTACTGATTTAATTCAGACTCACCCCAGCGGCAGGTTCATGATGCTTTTATTCTCTTGTATAATGTTAACTGGGAAGGCATGCAACAGAGCCAGCTGTGCACTTAGTTCATTGCTTGCTCCTCTCTTCAGCTCATAATCGTCCGTGACACTCTCCACTTGTGAACGACCTGCAAACGGGTGTGAGTTTTGAGAATACTCTACATAAAATCAAATAAATAAAACACTTGATACAAAAGTGTAACCAGCCTTAGAGGAGGCGGTTGCCCTTCAGCCAACGCTCAGGGTAAAAAAGTCAATCACCAATTACACTCTACCAAATACAAAATCCTGCATTTTCAAAATCCACCCACTCAAAATTGGCACGGGAGAAACTGATGATTCATATTAAAAGCATGGTTGACCTCATTGTAAAATCTCAGTCTTTAAAGAGTTCTGCAGACACACTGTGGTTTCATCCCACGGCAGAAACACTATGTGGGGTTGCATTGTCTCTATATGAAGCTGAGAGAGGGTGCATTGTATTTGTTTAAGCTGAGTGGTTGCCAGATGCCAAGCATAACTCAAATAGCTGCTGAAGCTCGGGCGTAACGACGAGATCATGCAGAAAGGAGAGAAAGATAGTTTGTTCAATGTGATCCTGGCAAATTCAAATGCACACACAGGGATTCTAGCCTTTGCAGACCATTGACATGCACTAGAAAGCCCAACAAGCAGAATACCCTTTAAGTAACAGTGCTTTTTCCACCAAGACAAACACACATTTTCTGCATAAATAATATTTTTCTAATCTGTATATTCTTGAATTCAGGTTAAAACAACCTTTAAAGACTGAATGGTAGTTAACAGGTAAACACATACTGTATCTGTGACCTCTACTGGTGACCAGCATGAAATGCAACACGCGCACACACACACGCATGCACACACACACCCTTCCTCTGCTGAGTCCCCATCCCTCACAGCCTGTGTCAGTAATTTACACAGATGATAAAGTCGCAATTTCCCAGGAGTCCAGTAAGCTGGTGAATAGAAATTGACTTCGCTGATGGATTATAAATCATTCATAACGCCATGCTATTCCAAGACGATTCCCCATTATTTACCTTGGAAACAAGACGGTTTGGCTTCAGGAGTCTCTGGTTTAAAACACGTCCTTATTCACAGCTGTGTGGAAAGGTCAGAGGTTTGATATGAAATGATCACGGCTGCCAAACCAATCAAATGCTCCAGGATCTGTGTGTGTTGTAAGGTAGTATTTCTGTTGCATTTTCATACAAGAACACTCACTTTGAAGTATGCCAACAAAGCAGTGTGAGGAAATGTCTGTTGTGATCCCACTTAGCCCCAACATCCTGTGGGTGGGGGAGAACTGTGAAGTCAAAACAATACTCTAAATTCAAGATTGAAGAGTCACTAACATCTTTCTCTTGCACATCATTGTACCACAAGTGATCATGCATATACATCCTGCTTTTAATCTCATGATTTGATTTGGTCGATGATACCTATCAGTTATGTTCAACTTGATTGTTTAATTGTTTGCTGTTTATCTGTTTTATCACCTTGTACAATGGGCTTTGGTTATACTGTGTTTTTTATATGTTCTTGCCAATAAAGCTTCTTTTTCCATCAATTGAATGATTGAAAATAATTTACAGGAGTTTTTGGGAGAGTAACACAGGGATTTTAGCCTTTGCAGACCATTAACATGCACTAAAACCTTTATTACACAATACAGGAAAGAGGAAACCCCACAAATATACATCCTGTATGTTCAGCTTCTTCTTGATTATGTTAACATGATTGTTTCATTGTTTACTGTTTATCTGTTTTACCACCTTGTACAATGTGCTTTGGTTATAATGTGTTTTGAATACGGTCATGCCAATAAAGCTTCTTTGGATTTGAAATTTGAATATTTTGTTTTAGTTTTGACTCACAATAAGTGTGACTTTGTATTTCTGTGTAGAGCACTTGGTCTGGAGGTTTTAAAGTGCATTATATATAAAGGTGGATTGGATTTCATTGGAACGTTATAGGATATTTACGCCTAGAAGACGTGAATTTGGCAGAAAAAAGTACTTCTTGGTTAGAAGAACTGTCTTAAAATAATGCAAATCGAATCCATTCGAGCTCAAACAATTAAATGTAACAATTTTCATAATCAATTAACTATACCTATCATATTTCAAGCAAAATTGTTTGGCTGACTTTGCCTTTACCTCTCATATATGGTAGTAGATATTATATATTGTGGTTTTGCACATCTGGTCGGACAAAATCAAACATTTGAAGACACTGGGCTCCGGAAAAATGTTGAATCGATTGACTGAAAATAACTTACAGATTAATCAATAATGATGTATTATGTTCATATAACATCAATAATCATGTATTGAGTTAATCTAAACAAACAATGTACTACTATTTACCTATCAATTACTCGTGTGGTTTATAAAATACATTCAAACATTGTGTGAATATAAGTGAATATGAATCTGGTGCTTATGTGATCTATACATGGATTTTGAGAGGCGTTTGCTTCCCTCAAGTTATTAAACGCTGATGTGTTGTCTCTATATTAATTATAATGACTTTGACAGTTGGGATATCACATATCAAGGTCAGTCTTTTCAAGCATGAAGGATGGCTTTGACATCAGTTGTGGATTTGAGAGGAGACCACGATGAGAAAGACAATCACATGTAACCTGATTTTAAAGGCTGCTGTTCTGCTGACGAGACAAACTGTCCCACAGACTAATGTCCATGTAATGAAATACCAGTCATTCCTTTATAGAGCCATTACATCAGACTCTCCTTCAAAAACTCACACAGCTTGTTAAATCTGATCTGTTTCCTCCGAGTCTTTATACACAACTCCAGGCATCATGAACACTTAAAGCATAAGTTAATGTGAAGTTTACTACAAGTCAATTATGGGGTCAGGGGTGTTGCAGTGCGAGAGGCTTGTTAAAGTTACAGCCTAGTAAAGTCTGTCAACACAATAAGCACATACTGTATCGCACTGTAACCCAGCACCCTGCTTCATTAGCTCCCTAACAGGCTTTGGAGGCAGCACTCACAACACTGTGGAGAATCGGGCTGATTCCACACTGCTTTATCAAAGAAATTAGGCTACAGGCTGACAGAAATATGCATGAGTCATGCTTCAAATCCGGGGAACAAAATCCAACCTATAGCTCAGTGCATGTGGACTAAACACATTCTGGATTTTTGGCATATAAAGCCAGAAAAAAGTGCTTTACATTAGACAAAAACTGCCAAAAAATCGTACTTTTCAGTCGTGATTATGTCTCTTTCTGCTGATTATCTCGCTATTAACACGATCAATCCGTTTCCCTACCGTTCAGCTGGTTGTAGACCACGTCCTCCAGCCTCTCCAGCCTCTGCAGAATAGACTGCCTGTCCACCAAGTTGGAAACTTTACCATTCCTGGCTCGCAGCCTCTGGTCGGTCATACGCCCCATCTGGATGATCTCCTCGGACCGGTCCTGGATCCTGCAGTACACCGAGAACAGGATAATCCCCACGAACACCAAGATGTTGACGGTCAGCAAAGTTTTGATTTTGCGTGCCACAGCCATGAAAGAGAATAGTGTCCAGGCTGACTCAAGTCAAGCCCAGCAGCTGTCCATGTGCGGTGGCCTGCTTTTTTTGCCCACCTTCCTGTGTCTTGTTGCGGGAGGAGGATTTTGGGGAGAGAAGGTCAGGACCCGAGGAGCTGCGGGATCCCTTCAGCACCGCGGACAGCGCACTTTTAGCGGGGCATATCTCTCCGTCACATCGACACTGAACCTGGGGGAGGTTGCTCTGCTCCAGCCGGGGATGAGAGACGCTTTTCACGGGAGCCTCAAAGCAAAAGCTGCTCGGTCGTCGCTACATATTACAGGCGAGAAACGACGCCAGGGAAAGCATGCATCCTGTGTAGATCAACATATTTCCTCCGTGATACGATCCTTAGCCCCAATATGTCTCCATCTTACGGCACATGCACTGCAACAGCCACTCTTCTCGAAGCATCCTCTCTGCTATCCTCTGCCTCGCGCTGTGATAGCAAAAGCGTTACACGATCCGTCCCGCTCTGCAAATATGAAGTCCAGAGAATATGTGCATGCTTCAAAAACAAGGCGGCGTTTCTCCTCCCTCCCTCCCTCTCCCTCTCTCTTTCTCTCTCTCCCCTCTATCTCTCGCTGTGCTCCGTCACTCCATTATTATTATAACTGTTGTGGTTGTTTCCCTGGTCTGAGAGCAGATTTCCCCCTCAGATGGTGAGCTGCAGCCGGGCATGCTGTCTCTCCTCCTGCGCGCTCAGTTAGGAGAGGAAGCGGCGTCCTGACGTGCAGAGGCTCCTTCATGAATATTCACGCGCTGTGTTGGGTAAAATAAACAGCAGCTAATACTTCCACTCGGTAGATCAGCGTATCAGTTAGTGAAGTGTGAGGAACAGATTTTTAGCGATTTGATCCGTGATGCGAAGGTTAACAGTCTCCATCTCCACTCCTAATGCCAGCAGCGGCTTAAAGCTTTAGTGCTTCACATATATGGGATTACATTTGCAAGCTGTTCATCTGGCCCTGCAACACATGCATGGTCAACCTCAGGAGTGAAATCACCATCTCACTAATCACATGCTCGGGGGGAGCTTTAACTCCATCACATTAGAAGAAACAAACACATACTGCACTGAGTAAATAACCTATTTTTAATCAAGTCCATTGGGGGAAGAGGTAGCATTGCTTTGTGTATGTATCTATTTATTTGTAGTACAGGCAAGAGATACAAATAGAGGACACAGCGGTACGATGAGAGGACAATAACAGCTCAAACAACAAAATAATCAAACAACAAAAGGTTTTATACCACATATTGTGCTCCGAAACCATTGAGCGGTTTTTAAAGTAAAGGTAAAATGTTGAAGTCTATCCTTTGAGTTACTGGAAGCCAGTGCAGAGCTCTGAGACCTGGAGGAATGTGTTCTGGGCGGCAGCAATCTGGAAGAGTTGCAGTTGTCTGAGGACTTTTTTTCAGAGACCTGTGAAGACACAGTTGCAATTATCAAGCCTGCTAAAAACAAAGGCATGGACCAGTTACTCTAGATCACATGTGTCAAACTCAAGGCCCGGGGAACAAATCAGGCCCGTGGTGGATTTAATTTCGGCCCGTAGGATAATTTTGTATTACTATAACATCTGGCCCGCTGGTATATTGCACACACACCTTCACTCCATCCTGAGGGTTTCCTCAGCTCAGAGCCTGAGCCCAAACATTGATGAACTTGCACCCAAGATGAGATGCCAAGTATCTGGCTTGAACTAGCATCACAGAGCAGCACACTGAGTTTACATGGATGTTTCCTTCTGCACTTTTTTTCTTGTGACAACAGAGCATGTTTGTTTTTCTCTTTGAGGGAAATAGTTTTTTTGCAGCTGTTGTTGGCCTGTGGAAAAATGTAATCATAAGAAATGACTCCAGAAAAGCTGCAGATAGAGCCATAAGAAATGAATGCAACTGATTATTTAATGTTTAATGTTGTTTTTATAGGCAATAATTTAAGCTGTGTTAGTTCCAGGTTTAATATGTGCAATCAGTTCATTTCAATAAGTTCTGCAATAAACATTGAACCAGTCCGGCCCTCGACTAGTACCGTTTTTTAAATTTTGGCCCACTGTGTGTTTGAGTTTGACACCCCTGCTCTAGATCAAGTTGAAGCATGAGTGTTTTCAGTCTGGCTGTGTGGTCGACAGTCCAACAACCAAAAACACACAAAGCATATTTATTCTTCCATATATTTCCAGTCTTTCGAGCTAATGTTGTCCCATTTCATGTTGCATTGTGTCACCTTGTAATGGTTTGTAGCAGAAATCTTTTCCCAGTGTATTTGCATTGCTTTATATTTCTATTTGACACACATTCAGCAAAGAAGTCAAGCTTTTCCACAGAAAGAAATCTGCCTCACATTGCAGCCCACGCTGGTCTCTGAAGTGCAGCAGAAACTCTACGACGAAAAGCAAATATCTTTAAGGACATTGGGGATAAAGAGCATAACCACGCAGTGATGATTTAAAACGCCACTCATCTCAAATTCCAAATGAATCAGTAAATCACGTAGCAAGGCATCTAGCCTCTCTTGATTAGGCAAACCCAGACATGGCACAGGCTACCCAAAGCACTTTGATCCCACCTCACACCCACCGGAGGATCTCAGGTTCTCATTGTGTGTGCTGCTCCTGACTGTAACTGTCAGAACACTTGATAGTGTGTGCAGTTGTTCATCAGAGGACATCTGGTGCAAACGTAATCTTGTAATCATCCTCGTGCCTCTTTGATAATGCCTCGGTGGTATACGTCTATAAGATGAAATCAATTCTGCTTTTCTGAGAGCAGGTTGAAGAGCCTTCATTTGTAATCCTCTCTGGAATCACAGGTAGAGGGAAGTGGTGCACTTTGATAATGGTGCACGTCGCTAAGTGTGCTGTATGAAAAGTGCACAACCACATTATCAAGACCAATGATAATGATCCTGTGGTTCCTATTTTCACAAAGTCCCTGCAATCAGACAGTAAATGAGGCTTTTATGTTGAATCATATACTGGTCGCGCTATCCTCCTTTTAATATGACCTTACACCACCTTTATCATCACCCTTTTAATAATCGTACCCCATGTGCTTCCTCTCCATGTTTAGCTCTGTATGACAATTAATAACGGGCTTTGTAATCAGATTTTAATTAGCATTCCTGCTGCACATCACAAAAGTTGCTGATTTAATCCAAGGTCTGCAGAAACACACTGACTTTGGGGACATCTTTATTACAGTCACCATGCACAGCTGCTTATACAGCAGCTACAGTATTACACAACTCTGAAACGTCTGCTGTGTTTTTCTGCATTCAGCACCCGGCTGCAGACACTGGCACTCAAGTGTTTTAACCATATTAACCTGGGTCACTGCCAGTGCACCTTACTCATCTCACTGAGTGTTTCTGCATAAGCTACTCCAACAGATTCAGTGGGAGGATGTGGAGAACTGTGGGCATCTGGTGCTGCTGCAAATATCTACAGCCAAGGATTCATCAGATCTGAGCTCACAGGAAATATTAAGTTGTAGCTTCCACTGTGACTACCCTGCAAAGTGTAGTCACTCCAACAGTAGTAATATGTTTGCTCCACATTAACTGCACATATAATAATAATACATTTGATTTATAAGCGCACTTTTCATTTGAGTAAACAAAATTCAATGTCCTACAGAGTAAAATGGTTGAAACAAAACATAAATAAAAACAGTGACGTGATACGTGTGTTAATAATGTCAAAAGATGCACCTGAAGTTTTTCCGTCAAAAATCATGCTAGTTATACTCAAGTCTGTATTTTTCTATAATTGAAAGAAAAAATCCAACAGCGCTTGTAGATAAATCTGAAATGCTCCTTTAGCGTTCAAGTTGCCCTGTTATCTGTAACTTACAAGCAAAGGACAAACACATCCTGACATTTGTTATTCAGTTATTTAAGATATGCTCGCTAATTTGCTATCTTTTATGAACATTTAAAAATAGCATTTAACTGTTTTACCACTGGATGTTTGCTAGCTTTTACTGAAATGTGGCGGACATCGCTGTATGCTAACAGACAACAGACAGTTTAACCCTTCTTTTTGTGTCCTTACAGTATGTCTCAGGATGTTGTGCCAAATAACAGAAAACATATATTTGTTAAGTATTACATTTACTCCTTTGGGTTATTGCATTGCTGTCATTTCCAAAGCTGGTGAACATGTTAGCCTGTTTACACACAGCAGCAGATAATGTAGCAACATTAGCATTCATTCGGAGTTGTGTTTCAGGACATTTAATGAACTTAGGTCCAATATATTTATTATGTTAGCTCTGTTTTGGTTTTCTGTCTGTCTCTTCAGCAGCTAAATGCTCCACTCTGTTCACCAACATCTATTTATCAGTACTTTGTTTTCTGAGAAATATGGACTAGTGCAGCTTAAAATACAAAAAGAAACACTCTAAAACTATACACGGACTTCGCAGTAAACACAGAGGAGTCTTAACCCTCAAACAGGATACTAACCACTGTAAAACTATGGGTAGTAAGTGCTTTTTAGGGGACCATTTAGTTTGCTCCACTCCAGTGAGTATTCTCGTAAGTTGAAGCCGCTCTTCACTGTTCAGTTCACAAGAGGCCCAAACGGCCGGGCAGAGTGAATTTGTTCAGACAAGATGCTATTAAGCAAGGACAGCCAGAAGTCAACAGATCACTCACACATGCACTGCACTGCAGGAATACATTTAGCAGCAGAGTGAGAGATCAAAATAACTTTGCATCAGCTTTGTTCTGAGTCGTAGTGCTGTGTTTATGTAACACTTCATCCTGGTTTCAACTAATCAAATGCCAACTCGTGTGCCCTTGCGATTCTAATAGAATAGGAAATGTACTCTTGAATTTGTTGATAGAATTTAATGAAAGAAAGACCTTGTGGTGTCTTTAAAAGCAAAGTAGTTTATATTCAGAAGGCTATAGAGGAAACTTAGAGTTCCTTGCACAAAGGAAAATATGCAATACCTAGAAAAAAATGTGGTTTTAAAAAGAAAGTCCAACATTTGGACACGGCAACTTTCATCGAAAATACACAAGGTCGTTTTTCCCTTAGAGGAAGAATTGAATCCTTCTTTTGTATTCACACTGACTAATATGCATAACATTTCGGCATTAATATAATCTATAGGATAAAGGGGATATATCAAATAAACATTTCTATTGAAGCCATTAGCGTACAAATACAGTAAAGTCTTGCATGCAGTGTGTCGCTACATATCATATTCACCTCCATGTGCGAAAAACTCTGGCAAATGGCACAAAAACTCTCTGGGGATTGCCCCCCATTCGGCTTCACGCACTATACTTACACAGACCTTTTGTAGCTGCCACTCCTTATCTCTGTCATAGTTTCCATTTTATTCTGCCACAAAGTGCATCCAGTTAGTCTGTGCTGTTTTGTGCCAGTAGGGTGTAATGTAGGCGAGAATGCCCCTTGACCCCACCCGTGCATCTCTTGATTGATTGACATCTGTCACGGATAATGGTCATAGCCCTGTCTTGATTTCTACACAGCCATTGGATAAAAGGC